AGAATACTCCCAAACTTTGGGAAAATTTTGACCTGGATCCAGACTCTGTCCTTGGCCTGCAACTCTAATTCTTTTACAAAGTCTAAAGTGATCTGAGGCCAGTTCACCAAGCATTGTGAGCTTTAAGCATACAGATATTTCCACTCTCCTCAGTGGGACTATGCATGTACTTAAGGTAAGGCACATGCTTAAATACATTGCTGAACTGGGTGTTAGACCCGTATTCTAGAAAGCACTTCAGCAGATGCTTAAACCTATACCCATTTAGAATAGCATTTAAGCATACAGTTAAAACTTCCAAGCATGTACTTAAGTCCCATTCTCTTCGAATGGAACATACACATGAATGTACACTTTGGCACATACTGAAGTACTATCTTCAGTAGGGATCTTCCTGTAGATGGTAATGAGGATGAAACCAGTAGCATTTAATAGAAATTACTCTTAAACAATCAGTAGAATCTAATGGAGAACAACTATGAAATTCTATTTTTATACCACCCTATAGAATTATTAAATAGACAACCATGCCCCTGGGGTAGAATACCATGTGCTGGTTTAAAATGTCCATAGAAAATATATGATTCTTTTCTATTACATGCTGCATGATTTTCAGGATTTACTTGCTCTGTCTTGCACATTCACATAGGGGAAGAATTTAAAAAGAAAGAAACAAACCCACCTATTCAATTTTCCAACAAACCCCTTTTTGCTTTCTCCCATGCTGCTCTTCACACATGGGAGGAGCACTCTGTAAACATCTGCAAAGCTGCCTCATTAGCCTCCTTCAAAGCCTCTTCGCTATGAGGCCTACAAAAAACTTGACACAAGACAGCTGATGTGATGAGACCAATGGCTATCATAATGAGGCAATGTTATCTCATTGTTTCCTTGTACTTCTCTATTTGTCTGTCTGTATCCATCAGTTGTCTCTTGCATTATACTTAGACTATGAGCTTTTGGGGGCCGAGGCCACGTTATTGTTCTGTGTTTGTACAGTGCCTAGCACAATGGGATCCTGGTCCACAATGGGTTCCTAGGTGCTACAGTAATACAAATAAACAAAACAGTAACTATTTGAACCATAAGCCCCCATATTAGAGACCTCCAGACTGACAACAACAGATTGGCAAATTCAATGGATAAATTCCTTGCCCCGTTGATATCAATGGCAGTTTTGTTAGTAACGTCCATGCATCCACTCTATGCCTTATTTTGGTGAGGTTTCAGTTTGCCTAGAGGGAAGATGTGTTAGGAAAACATTGTTGCTCGGAAGAAAAGGCACTAGGAATTTGGAACTCTGTGTGTATATTTTCTTTTGAGAAAGAGGGAGACATTGATATATACTCAGGCTGCAAAGGGCTAAAGTTATATAACATCAAGGGGCTGGCTTAACCTCTTGTGACATGGTGCTGGTGTTGGAGATTCATCGACTTCAGTGGAATTACTCAGCTGTTTAGACCTAGGCTCATGTCTCCTTGCCTCGCTGAACTGGGGCCTTGGTTAATCAAAAGCATCTGACCGGTGCCAGAGGGGAAGCACACTCCAATTCTTGTAAAACCCCAAGTATTCTTGGGCTATGGAAAGTCTCCAGTTCAAGGTGTATTTTAAACCCTTTACTCTGACCCTCAGTCTACTTAGGTGGCTCACATCAATTCTCCAGTGACACGGAATTGATAACGTTGAGCATGAAGTCAGATAAGTCTGCACACTTCTCCCTTTCAGTAGTGCTCTAGCTGGGCAGAAAATCAATGTGCTTTGCAACACCAGTTGCAGTAGCGCCTGTTTGGATTAGGTAAATATACTCAATCTGCAAATGAAAAATGGCTTGATGCTAAAATGTTAACCTCAACATGAATCAAAGTATATGTGAAGAGATGGAAACATATCAGAAGTTGATAGAAATGAAAGAAGAAAAGCTATATTCATTTGAGGCTGTTTTTCATGTGCTCTTTACTTTATCATCACATTTTCATTTCGCAGTGACTGTGTAACAATGACTGTGTACATTTTTTGCTACTATAAAATGAGATCTACAAGGCTAGCATCACTCATGAATCTTGTGATAGGATGTTCACCCCACACTGGAGTGGAAGAGCTTAATGGAGGCCTCATGGGCCTGCCAGACTCTGTCCCAGAAAGGAGCCGTGGAGGTGAGTCCTCCAAGAAGCCTAGGGAGGCTGCACAGGAAGCAGCCAAGTGGAGGGAGGCTGCACAGAGCAGCCAGTCAGGGCCCAGCAGACTCACATAAAAGGATCTGCAAGGCCAGAGATAGTCAGTTGCTGTGGGGAGTCCAAGGAGTGATGACTGTATTCCTAGTGGGCTGCAGGAAGGGTAGCACCTTGGACAGAGAAGTTGCTTGGGGGGACCAGGGGAGCAAGAGGGAGCTCCTGGCTGACTGCTGGGACTTGCTGGCTGAATACCCTGAGAAGAGGGCAACGAAGGTGCTGGAGCTGCAGGGAAATGGCCCACAGAATTGACATACCATTGAGCGAAGTTCAGGAGGCTGCTATCTACAATGTCCCTGGGTTGGGACCCGGAGTAGTGGACGGGCCCGGGTTCTGCCACTCGCAACTGGAGAAGTGACTAGACTATTGAACTGAGCTACTGCACACCTGGAAGGGGGAAAACACAGATGGTGACACAGCTGGAGGGCCAATTCATGAAGAGGACACTGCGGTAGTTGGACTGAGGCAGGTCTGCAGGAGGATTCAATGATGGGAAAGACATCACCTGGACAGGATACTCCATCTGACAGAGCTAATCCCTGTGATGGCCAGCAGGAGGCACTGTTGCGGTGAGTGGACTCCATCACAATCTATACACTTTGCATTTGTGAGCGTGAATCTATCTTCTCAATATACAGGGATTTGAAAGCACGGGCTAGAGTTTTCAAACATGGAAGACTACGTTTATGTAGCAAAATCCAGATTTAGGCATCCACATATGCAAATTTTTGGCCATAACTCCTATTACTTATTTCAATATTTTTAAAATATATTGTTTATATCAATAGTTGTTCAATATGACATTACTGAATTAAAATGAAGTTGTTGACTATAGGTCAAATTCTGCACTCGTGGTGACCTAAGTGTATTGCTTATTCACCAAGTTGTTTTTTTAACTATTACCTCACCCACTTCCTCCATCCCACCTTCTTGTTGATATCTTCTTGCCACTGTCTTAGACTATGTGGTCTCTGGGTAGCGGTTGTGTTTTTTTAAATTTTCTGAACAGCTCCCAGCACAATTGGGAGTCCTTTGACTGGGGTTGCTAGAAGATACTGTAATAATTTTTTATGCAACTCCTATTGAGCTGAAAATATTTAAATAGATGAAATTAAGGGTAAAATTATGCTCTCATAGCATGATAAATATGACACATCAACAATATATTATTTTCAGTCATAGGCTTCAGAGCATTTTACTAAGATGGGCAAGTATCAATATCACCCTTAATCATGCCAGAAGAACAGGAGACAGTGTCTGTGGTACAGTTAGGCCACAACTTTACTCACTTGAAATATTTGGGAGTACCTGGCAATAAATAGTGCAGGTCATCATTATTTCCTCAACTGTTTCCCCACTTCCCACTTCCCATCCTGGCTACAGCAAGCCCCTTGCTCGGATCCCAGTGCCCTCCCCTCATATGGGACTTATTGGGGGCTGGTTTCCTGCTATACCTGAACTTTCCTGAATCCCCCTCCTGCAGCTTCCTTAAGGGATGCACTGCACACCTGCCACATTTTTTAATTTACTAAGTTGTGATGTGTGACCCTCCCTCCCCAGCCCTACTGTGGGGATGGTGAAAAAAACCACCCCGTCTCAGTCAGTCTGACAGGGAGGGAAAAATTTCTTCCTGGCCCCCAAGGAAAGAGGTGACTAGTGTAATGCACACATGGTTCCTGAAGGCATCCAGTCCGACTCTGATTCTATGGGTGGGAAGGTGGATGGTGCCAGCAAGATCCCAGTAAGAGAAGGCTGCTCTGGAACTGCCCGGGGTAAAATACCACACCCTCCTCTGGTCACCTGGAAGGTCAGTACCCTCCACCGAACCTGGTATGGCCACTTCCTGTTCCTCCCTGCTTGATCTAGGTAAGCCTTCCCTGTCCTCCCCCTCTGTCACCAATAGCAGAGGAAGCTCCTATAGGGGCTACAACCCTTGTTCTTTCAGTCAGCTGGACAAAAGACCCATTGCACAGAGTTGCAGTGAGCACATTTTACAAATGAGGAAATTAAATGAATGAAGCAGTTAAGGGTATTCTAGCCTGGTCGAGTCTGCTCCTTTTCCAGAGTTCATGTATGTGGTAGCATTGGACAAAGCACCGGAGCTGGAGCAAGTATTCAGAGAGACCAATCTGACAAATTTAGCCCTTCTTTTTCTGCTCACAAATTGTTAGCGAACAGATTATTAGGAGCCTACATTTCATTTTCAAGAGTGACAAGGCACTCAGGAGCCTAAGTTCAACTGACTTTCAACAAGATTTAATTATGAAGGGACTTAATTAAATGTATTTTGGTCACTGCAGATAGGCACCTTGTGAGATTTTCAAAAGTACCTAGGCCTCTAACTCCCAGTGAAACCAATGGGAGTTGAGGGCCTAGTCACTTTTGAAAATCCCACTAGCGGCTTCTTTGCATTTTCAGGCACCTCAATACATTTCCAAATCTGCCCTTAAGTGCCTAAATTGGTTTTGAAAATGGGATGTAGGGTCCTAAACCACTTAGATACTTTTGAGAATTTTTACTGTAAGTGACAGTAAGGTCACACAGGAAATCAGTGTCAGGTCAGGGAGCTGGACTTGGGGTCTCATAAGCAGGGTAGTACTCTAACTTCTTGACCAGTCTTCCACTCAGTGGCAGATCTGGGATTAAAATTCCAGACTTTCTGACTTCCATTCCTGCAAACCTCGCTGCCTCAACATGGTATTATCTAGTTAAATCAAGGCTTTAACCTTAGTGATTTTACAGATAAATACATAAATAAATCCAGCTGCTTACTGTTGCAAGTCTTGTTGTATTTCATATTCTCTTGTGGATACCCCTTCAGCTGGCACTGGAACCTGTGCTGCCAGAATTCCTGAAACCAGGGGTTTCGGAGATTGGTTTCTGGCCGAAGCTGCAGGTAATAGTCATCAAACCATTTCACATCAGGAGACTGAAGCTTGATCGTTATTCCACCAACAGCTTCCCGCTGATACCCATCTGTCACATCGTACCTGTCTGCCCAGCCGTCACTGCAGAGAAATAAAAGAGAGAAAACACTGTGAAGCTACTGCTTCATGCACCATTCTAAAGAACAAGGGAAGTGCTCCTTTCAAATAGCAATAGAAGCAAATAGATGCACACTCACACCAGAGATTTGGAGGGTGAAGTATCAGTAATACTTCTATTAGTAGCATTCAGCATCTTCTATTTTCTTACACTGAACATTCAGCTGTAATCAGCATCTTCTATTTATATAGTGTATTCTTAAGCTTGTATCCCAAGGAATCCAAACCAGCATTATAAGCCACTGCCCCAGTCCTGAAATTGACTGTGTGCATGTGCACCTCTGCACTGCACTGAGCCCTGCTGACTTCAGTGGGGTGGTGCTTGTTTGGGGATATTCTAGCCAGGGGACAACTTAGCGAAAGTTTCACAGAATCTGTAATGGCATTGCAAAAACCAGACAGGAAGCTGGCTTTTAGATTCATGGCTAAAACAACATCACAGTAAACTGAGATGCCAATGGCAAACTACCAAATGATAATGGCCATCAAGCAGTCCGCTAGCGATTCTCCTCCACTTATTTCACCTAAAATCTCTCCAGAACTCTGACTCTAAACTCCAAGCAGAGCTGGTAGAAATACAGGAAAAAAGTCATGAACATTTCAGTGGAATTCTCCATGCACAAGTTTTTTTTTTCTTTCACAGAAATTCAAAATTTTGACAAAAATTTTCCATAGAAAAATTAAAATTTGGAAAGTTTCATCTGGCTCCACCTCCAAATTTTACATATCTAAGCATAGTGTTGCCATCTACTGCTGTTTTATCATGATTGCTATATTTGGTATTGTTCATAGAGCCCCAGCTTCTGAGGCCATGGGATTATGGGAGAATCTTAGTTTTCACAGGGGAAAATAGAGAATTTCTCGCCCTCATCATGCTTTTTGTAACATGCAGGAGGACTGCTGGAACTGCATGACCTCTATTCACTTCAGTGGGGCTTTGTGTTAGCACAGAAGTCTGCCTGTCCTCTACACAATACAGGATTGGGGTCATAGACTGTAAGGTCTATAAACATTGTACTTGCAAACACAGAACAAAAAAGAACTGCCTGAAAGAACTAATAATCTGATGAAGGGAAAGAAAGTGCTTCAGATTTAAAATAAACATTAAAGGGTAAAATGAGTTATTTACTGCAAGAAAGAATGAGATACATTTATGAAGGAAAAGAGGTAAGCAGTGATTTTTAGTTGATATCACAGAGAGATGTGCAGCATGCTGCTTTGAAATGTATCCTAAGATTAAGATCATATTAGGGGTGGAAACAGGAGTTAATGTTCCTGAATATGCTAATGGAAATCAATTCTGGCAAAAAGTCTAGCTTCCCCAGAAGGATATTTACTAGTCCAAGGGCTGGAATCATTTACAGGTCTGTCTTGGTGCTATGATAAAAAAAAAAAAAAAACCTTTCAAACAAATGTAGGAATTATCTAAATAGATTTAGTATATTCAAAATGGTCATCTCATGTTCAGCAAGATTTTAAATGTTTCCACCCCATATAGCAAAGTCCTATAGAACTGAACAACAAATAGCAGCTCTTCTATGGGTTTTTTCAATCATCTTAGCAGAATTACGTCCATACTATAGAATTGTATAGGATTGTTTAAAAAAACCCAATGCCACACCTTTAGAAAGGATCTTATTTCTATAGTAAATGTCATGGGTTGTTAAAGCAATAGTGATAAAATACGTAGGGGATACTAATGATCAAAGTTTTGGAATATTATAAATGAGAATTCTAGGCCACATGTTTTCCATGAACTGACTCCGTGTTTCAATAACATTGGAAATAGCCCATCTTAGCTTCTTTGCACATCAGAGAACTAGGGATTTTTCATATGAAATATAGATATTTAACAGAATTTTACAGGCAACATCCTTATGTTCTGAGTAGGTGTAAAAGGTATGGAGGGAGGAAAATGGGATAGGAAAATATGCATGCAAAGAGATACAGAAGTACTAATAAAGCAACCTCTCAGGTGCACTGGAAAGGGTGTTGTGGCCATGAAGAATGGTACAGAAGACTCCAGAAGAAGGCATTCAGCACAAAGAAAGGGGTAAGTGCATATGCTGTAACTATTGAAATGCTGGTTGTACTAAGATACGAAACGGGGTTCATCTTTTCAGTAGATAAATGGTCTAGAGCAGCTTCAGCCCAGAGAATAAGATCAGTCCATGTGAAGACTACTTGGGTGCAACAGTGTAAGAATTTAGATAAAGAACAGTGTCCTGTCCCTTTAAATGTTTGAGCGCTCTCCCCTCCCAAGTGCAAAACCTTGTCTTTGTTTCAGTTTTGCAGCCAGAACAATAAAGCAAGCACAGTGCACAGTTGTGTTTCTATTAGCTCCCTCTGTGTTTGTGTCTATCTCCTTCTCTGTTGGATCCAGAAATATAACATTCGATGACGAGGAATTTATATTCCAGGAGCGTCCAGTGTTCCCATTGATTGAACAAGAAGAAGAAAAAGTATGTAAATAATACTGTGAAAAAGGGGACAAAGTTCACTTAGAGGCACAGGCTGTCAGACTGCTTTTCTTTGCTCCCGGGACACTGGGAACCAGCCAGCTAGAGGGGGCAAGTAGGTAAATAAAAAGGGAACAAAGGATACAAGTTCTGCATATACTGCTAGAACTGTTCAAACAGAGCAGTGAAGGGGAAGTAAACAGCCATCTTTGTTGACCATGTGCAAGCAGGCAGCCAGGCAAACAGCCTGCAGCCTGCACTGAGGGTCTACAGCCAGCAGAGGGAGACCAGACATGCCAAACCCACGAAAAAATGCAGAAATTGGACTTGTTTTTGGCTTAATTGGTTTATGACTTGCTTGTTGCCTAGTTTTTGGCTTGTTGCTTCGTTTTTTGATCACCTCCCTGCAAACAGGGGTGGGGGGGACAAGTAGGGCAAGGGGCAAGCAGGGGTAAGGGGGGAGAGAGTCGGGGTGCACAGTGGATCCACCACAGTCCCAGACTACATGCTGGGGGGATCTAGTCACATAGAGTGTTGTGGTTCTTAGGGATTGGCTTGTTTTGGCCTCATTTTGAAATGGGATTAGCTTGATTTTTGTCTTATTGTGAAAGTTGGGGTGCTTATTTACCGCGTGAAAGTTGGCAACTGTGATGGAGACCAAGTACAGCCAAAGGAAAAATTCTGCAGTTTGCCATGTAAGCACATGGCCAGCAGAGGGGATACAAATAGTGCAGTAACAAATAAAAACAGTTTCCTTGTGGCAGGAGATGTCCAGGAGGCATGAAGGTCAACAGGAGAGCAGTGAAATGGCACCTTTTGTGGGCAATGTTGGTGAGTTTGATGACAACTGTGAATCATGGGCGGTGTACCTCCAACATTTTGAGCAATTTGTAACCTGCAACGCCTTTCCAGATGGACAATGGGTTTCAACCTTGTTGATAATGATGAGTAAGAAGACATGGACTGCTGTGTGACCTATTATCTCCAACTGTGCCCGGCACTGCCACATATACCACAATTATTGCAGCTGTTCAGGGACATTTTTCTCCTATTTCCATCAGTGATAGCAGAACGTATCAATTTCATCAACAACATCACAGAAGTGGGAAGTCAGTAGAACAGTTTGATGTTGTTCTCAAGAGGTTGTCAGAGCACCATCAGTTTGGACAAACAGTGAGTGATGCCCTGCGTGACCAGTTAGTCTCTGGATAATGCAGTGACCAGGTCCAGAAGACGTTATTCACTGTGTAAGTGCCTACATACAAAAAGGCTGTTGAAGTACAGTTGCAATGGAGACCACAGAAAAGGATTCTCTGGATTTAATGTGAACCAAAAATTTCATGTCATGAATCACTGAGACAGAGGATCATGGGAACATAAGGAATTTTCATGTGGTTGTAGTGCACAAACTACACATGCTGAAAAGGATTGCTGGGCATGCCAGGTTATTTGCAGAAAGTGCCAGAAGAAAGGACACATTGCTATGAGCCGTGGGAAAATTCAATGATCAGCAACACAGAGTAACTATAGATTCAAGAAAACATCTATGACAACTGAACCTAAGAAAGGACGGAAGTTGGAAATTCATAATCTGGAAGAAGACAAGAGCTGTAGTGACATTGACCAGGATTTAGCACGACACGTGTTATTGCAAGCTGGATTCAGAGATGGCATCTGGGTTACACCTTTGATTGAAGGAGTTCTTACAAGAATGGAACTTGATACTGGAGCTGCCGTCTCATTGGTTTCTGCATCTACCTATCAACAGACTTTGTCACAAGTTCCTCTGGAAGAAACATCCATGATTTTGAAGACTTATACTCCAGGTGAAAGTTCAGCTGGATGGACAATCATTTGTTTTACTCTTATGTGTGACTGAAGGAAAGTGTCCACCATTATTTGGCAGATTTTGGCTTGAGAAGCTCAAGGTGACTTTTATTGAGGCAATCACAAAAGCACCTAAAAATCTTCAGGAAATACTGGACAGGTACTCTAAAGTTTTTGAAAAAGAGCTTGAGCATTGTCTTTGTGAAAATTACTGATAAGTCTGACAGCCAGCCAAAGTATTGCAAGCCCAGACCTGTGCCTCTGCTCTGAAGCCTCAAGTGGAAGCTGATCTGGACCATTTAGTGAACATTGGAGTCTTGTCACTGGCTTCACATAGTGAGTGGGCTACACCCATTTTACCAGTGATCGAGACGGATAGCTCAGTCTGATTTTGGGGGGATTTCAAAGTGACATTGAATCCATTTTTTTTGTGCAGACCAATATCCATTACCTCATACTGAAGATTTGTTTGCTACTCTCAGTGGACGACAGTGTTTCAGTAAATTGGATTTGCTCAGTGCATACCTAAAAATGGAGATTGATCTGGCATCTTGCAAACATCTCACAGTCAACACACAAAAAGGCTTATTTTGTTACAACAGGTTGCCTTTTGGTATCACGTTGGCACCAATCCTGTTCCAGAAAGCCATGGATGAGATTCTGAAGGGAGTGAACAGA